TTTGGAGCAGCTTCAAGGTACAATGCAACAAGACACGGGCTTTAAAAAATGATATGAAGACGGCATTAGCTTTGTTATTTTTTGAGTAGTTATTATTTGGTAAGCACCAAAAGCGTGCCTTTGTGTTGGCCAAATGCAGTCCCCAAATAGAATAAATAACCTTCATGCCATAGTAAGGAGAGGAAAAGCCTTCCCTTTGATTTTTCTTTATTCAGAGCACTGAAGGCTTTCCACTGCTGCCCGCTGGTGAAGAACAAATCTTTGGTACGATAAACAACTGGCTTTTGTAAAGTCCAAGACATCCTGCTACCAGGAAAAGTGACCAACTTGAAGTCCCAAAACTATGAGCAGTATTTTGTTTTCTGGTTGCTATTTGTTAACCATGCTGAATCCACCCACAGCCTGCCAAAAATTGTAACGCTTTTTGTACCAGCGGCACAGCATAGCTCAGTTCTGGGTTGTGATGGCTGGGCTCCTTCTACAAATGCCCACCATAAATGAGAAGTCAAATAATTACAGGAGCGTTGCCATCAGTAGCTGGAGGACAGACAAAGCTTTAACAATTTGTCTTCAGCTGCTGTAAAAACAGGATGTTTTTGCACTAACACAATGAAGTGTCAAGGGGTGAAAGTTTTTCCTAATGCTTAACCTGAATTTTCCCGAGATTAAATCATATTCTGCCATTTCATCCATTTTTTCCTCCCTTCTCCACAGGGACACGGAAAACAGGTTGCTGCTTTCCCCTTTGCAGTAGGTTTTCGCCTATTCCAAACCTGTTTTGACATTGGGATGCCCATGCAGATTTGTTTGCTCTGCTGCCGTGGGAGGTTTCTGCACCTCTGCTCTTTCTGCGGGTCCCTCTTCTGCACCCTTGCCGGTCAGCTGCATCCTTCCCGAATTGGGTGCTCGGCTGAGTGTAGTGGGAGGGTGACACCATGCGCGCCGAACGCCTGCTCGCCTGTCATGGTACCGTGTTTGCCTTTTCACAATGCCTTTTCCTAAGTGTGCTCATCTTGTGATGCACACTCAGCCCAAGAGGCTTCCCCGGGGCGCGATGCTCTGCTCCATCCCGTCCCGGGGCAGGTGACGGGTCCTGCCTGTGTGCAGCACCGCACATGCCTCTCCTGTCTGCTCGGACCAAAACCAGCGAGATCGCTGGGCTTTTAGACCTTGTCCTCTGTTCTGCTCACAGCTTGGGGGCACCTGCAAATGCAATGAGCACATCGTGCCGTTCTTTTCAATTAGCAGTAGCTCCTCTTAAAACCGTGCATGTGCATTAAGTCGGCTCAGACCTTGGTTTAAACCGCTTCGATGGAGGTAGGTGATCCAGAGCGACCGACCTCAGCAACAAGCACCTGAACATCAGCTCCTGACCGATAGACACGTTATTTTTGTTGAGACCACCCCAGCACACTTTGCACACGGGTGACCAGGTTATCAGCTGGGTGATGGAGCGAAGGGGGTCCCGTCCGAGGCGGCTGCTGAGAAACAACTGAAAAGGGTCACACAGATTTCCGCACGCTGCTGCCGGTTCGTGGGAGTTTTTCCCCTTCTGCAGACGGGAAGAAGCAATGCAGACATGTTTCTGGACGGGTTATGTCCCTGCCAGAACTAAATGAAGGGCTTCAATTCAGAGCTACTGCACCCTCGGGATGTCGAGACATACAAAACAAAGAGGGGATTTAGAAAACAAGTGAAAAGGCATATTATATTTAGATAATAAAATTAACATCACAAAAATTGTTTCCTGGAAAATAATGCCATGTTACATGACATATAATTATGGCGCTACTGGAACGGTAATTAAGAGGCAGTCAACTAATAAATTGCAACTCAGAGGTGGAGCAGCACCGCGGCTCCTCCCGTTCCTGTGCCAGGGCTGTGCCGGCGGCTCCCCCGCCGCCCCGGCCCGCGCCAGCCCCCCCACCCGCCCC